ACCGACACAAAGATGCTACCGGTGCTTGGAGAATGGTCACATCGCAAAGGACTGCAAAAAAGATGAAGACCGTTCCAAGCAGTGTTTCAGGTGCAGAAAGGAGGGGCATAAGGCAGCGGACTGCACGGACGCAAAGACGGAGGGTTCTCACGCTAAAAATGACTAAAGTCCTCCAAATCAACCTCAACCACTGTGCAGCGGCTCAGGACCTGCTGCACCAGTTGGTAAGGGAGGAAAAGGCCGACATCGTCATAGTTAGCGAAAAGTACCGTGATCTCGATGTGCCGAACTGAGTGAAAGATGCGACTGGTAGGGCGGCTGTCTGGGTATGCGGACGCCTACACGTATCGGCAAGGATGACCGATCCAACCTCAAACTTTACGTGGATAGAAGTGGCTGGCATGCGTATATATAGTTGCTATCTCCCACCTAGCGAAGAGATAAGCGAGTTTAAGAAATCCCTGGATGACATTGTTACCAGCGCAATGACATCACGCCTACCGGTGATCATCGCAGGCGATTTTAATGCATGTAAACTGGGGAAGCGCGAAAACAAATGCTCGCGGGCATGCACTTCTAGAGGCGTTCGGAGTATTGGAGCTCGAGGTAGCCAATAGAGGAACGACCCCGACCTATTCCAAGGCGGGGAAATCGTCCATAGTGGATGTTACCTTCATAGATGCCAAACTATTGACGGAGGAGCTCAACTGGAGAGTCAGCGATCGGTACACGGGCAGTGACCATCAAGCCATAACGCACCGGCTCCAGTTGATCAAAAAAACGGTATCCACCAGGACAACGGAAAACAAGAGGAGATGGGCACCAAATACCTTCGACAGAGAATCATTTCTCTACTCCCTTGAAGGAATATCAGTATCCGGAACCGCGGAGGAAAAGGCGCAGGGTCTCACACGAGCTCTCAACACTGCATGTGATGCATCCATGGCTGTCAAGAGCAACGCAAGGGGTAGATTACCGGTTTACTGGTGGAATGAAGACATCGCAAGCCTGAGGCATAAATGTCTTACAGCCAGAAGGCGCCATCAAAGAGCAAGGAACAAGCCCAACTTCCGAGCTCTGACCGAAAAATTTGAAGAGCTAAGATCACTGCTCAAGGTCACCATCAAAGCAGCTAAGAGACAGTGCTGGCGAGACTTCTGCGAGGAAGTAGATAAGGACCCCTGGGGCCGGCCGTATAAAACGGTCATGCGCAAGATCAAGCCCAGGAGTGGCGTACCACCATCTTGCCCATTATTCCTCGACAGTGTAGTGCGATATCTGTTTCCAAGACATCGGGAGAGACCAGAACAAACAGGCCTAATGGAAAGAGACGATGAAATCGAGTTTACAGAAGTAACCCAAGCAGAACTGACAGTAGCCGCGAAGAAAATTCGAACCCGGAAAGCGCCAGGGCCGGATGGGATACCGGGAATTGCCATCAAGACGGCAGCACTGAATGCCCCGGAAATAATTCGCGATACATTTAGTGCGTGCCTGCGAGAAGGACATTTTCCAAACTCGTAGAAGCTGCAAAGACTGGTGCTGCTACCCAAGGGAAATAAGCCTCCCGAGCAGCCTTCGTCCTACAGACCACTGTGCATGTTGGACATTATAGGAAAACTGCTGGAAAGAGTAATCCATGCCAGATTGGAGGCAGCTATAGCCGAAGCAGGGGACCTGTCTGGAAACCAGTTCGGCTTCAGAAAAGGCCGTTCAACCTTAGGCGCTATTGGTCGAGTTGTGGACCTGGCCAAAGATGCCATTAGCGGAGGACGGAGCGCAAGACGCATGTGCGCTGTGATCGCATTAGACATCCGAAATGCGTTCAACTCGGCAAGATGGGACATCATTATGACAGCCATAGAAGGACTGAGGGTGCCGCTGTATTTGCGTAGAGCCCTATCGAGCTACTTAAGCAACCGAATCCTGCACTATAACACCGACGATGGCACACACTCATACAACATCACGGGAGGAGTGCCGCAGGGATCGGTGCTTGGCCCCTTGGTATGGAATGTCCTATATGACGGACTAACAAGACAGCAGTTGCCAAGGGGAATAGAGATAATAGCTTTTGCCGATGATGTAGCACTAGTGGTCACGGCAAAGAGCGTTGAGGAGATAGAATATATAGGAAACGTCTCCATCGAGGTGGTGGCTCGATGGCTAAAAGGGCATGGGCTCAGTCTCGCTGCGGAAAAGTCCCGCACGAAAGCTCGGAAGTACGCCACATTCACAGTGGAAAATAAGCGAGTACAGTCGACTGACACGGTGAGGTACCTGGGAGATATACTAGATGCGCGGCTATCGTTTAAGGAACACCTCTCGAAAACAGGTGTCAATGCCACTAACGTTGCTAGAGCGTTGGCAGGTATCATGCCAAACGTCGGGGGGCCAAAGCAACCACGCAGAACCCTGCTATCGTCGGTTGTAAGCTCAGTAATTCTCTACGGAGCTCCTATATGGGCGGATGCGCTAAGAAATAATGCAAGCTACGGAGGGACGTGTCGAAGAGCCTGCAGAGCAGCAGCGCTACGAGTTGCCCGTGCATACCGAACTGTATCGGACATAGCAGTCTCGGTAATCGCTGGAATAGCGCCTATCGACCTACTAGCATGCGACAGAGCAGAAATATACCGTGAAGGAGGTCGTAACGAAGAGAAAAATGCTGATAGACATGTCCACAGCAAACGGTGGACGCAAAATTTAATGCGAGAATGGCAGAGAAAATGGGACAACGCAGTGAAAGGTCACTGGACTCATCGCATCATCCCGAACATTGACAAGTGGACAGGCAGGCGCCACGGACACCTCACCTTCCAACTGACACAGGTGCTCACCGGTCATGGCTGCTTCCGTATTTATCTCCAACACATCGGTGTATATGCGAGTGCCGAATGCCGAGCCTGTCCAGGCAATGACGAGGACGTAGAACATGTCTTATTTGTGTGTCCCCGCTTCGCTGAAGAGCGGATGCATTTCTGCACGGAGTGGAATGATCCAATGAGTCCCGAAGGGCTCGGAGCTTGCCTGCTCGGCTCGCCAGAGGGATGGAAAACGGTAGTGACCTTTGCCACGTCAGTGGTAAACCGGCTGACCGCAGTAAGAAAGGAGGAAGAGAGAAGACGTGACAGGTCTATCATGCATAGATAGAGCGAGGTGCCAGACTATGGGACTAAAAAGCGCTCCTAAACTACCACAGAGTAGTTGTTAGAGCGCGGTTACCCCATCCGATGCAGAGGAACGTAGGCTCTGGGGTCACCTAAGTCCATAGGATAACAAGGCGCCAGCCTATCCAAAGCGCTCCCCTGCCTTTGCGGGAGAGCAAAGGACATTGGGTTGAGCCCAGACTCCCTCATCCGATGCAGAGGAACGTAGGTGTCGAGGTAGAGGCTGTCCAGAGGATGACCGGACGATGCCGATAGAAGAAGACGACCGGACAATGCCGTTGGAAGAAGACGTGTAAATCGATGCCGTAAGAAGAAGACGAAGCTAACATAGCCGAAGACGATGAAGATCGAAGAAAACGACACAGCCGAAAGGTAATGAAGAAGACAAGGCTAATATAGCAGAAGCCCCCCCGCGAAGTAATGCCTAGCAACGGTTCCCGCGGGGGATACAGGCAGGACATAGAGAGATGGGAGTTTAGTGGGTATACCATGCTTAGGGATTCCCACACAGAACGAGCCGAAAGGCCGTTACGTGCATAAAGCATTCTCGAACTCTCTTCAAAAAAGCTTTCCTGGACTCGGATGAGTTTCACCGATTCGCAGCTTGGACCAGAAGACAACTACGGAACAACCGACACAGCAACCCAAGCATCCCAGCTGCCGACTCAGCTTCCCAGCAATCAACTCCAGCGAAGCGTCCCGACGATATTGAAGAGAGCGGTATCGTTTCCCTCGTACCACACGAAGTTCAAGGGGGGAGTATCTGTGGGGACATCGTCACCACCTGCCACGTGTGACGGAACGCAACAGCACCGGCGGAAAGAGTAGTTCAAGACACAAGGTTGACTAGAATGCGTCAAAACTAGCAAGATCGCTTTTACGTGCGCAAGTTAGTTGCTCGCCCGGTACCTCTTAAGCTAGAATGACACCTTCCTGTGTATGCAAAATAAAATTGTTTATTGTTTGTACTTTGCCATAGTTACTTATCCATCTACCTTTCAACGCCTGACCTGAAGGCTTTTCCCTTCAAAATAAATTTTAAATCGTTCAGATATCTTCTTTTTCACCAAGATATGATAATGTAAATTTAACGTCTCAACTTCTTACGTACTCAAATGCAGGGTGAGCATATATACTTGGAAATCCTGTTTTTATTTTCTAAATTAGCATATGGATCACTACAAAAAACGGGTGTCCAATAATTTCTGATACTCTACACCTATAAAGTTTAAAGAAAATCGGCGACGAACACCTCCCGGTCTTACCCCTCGTTAGTACACTTTGCGATCGCTTTTAAAATCAAATAAAAAATCTCTTAACTTTATAAGATCAAATAAAATTACGTGATTGCACTTGCTCGAACTGGTTACAGTTTCTATATGACATTATTCGTGATCATAAAAATTTTCTGTGATATCTGAATTCACTTGACTATCGCAAACTCACACCGGAATTTATTTATATGAAATCACGTGTGAGCATTTCGAAAATTACGTAGAATTACATAACAGTTGATCTCGTATGATTTCACATAAAAAATTATATCCAAAGCATCTGAAAATATCATGATTTCATTTGATTGAAAATATGATGATAATCGTATGAATTATTATAATAGGGTAGTACGTGTTCGATAACCATCGTTTCCCCTTGGTTGTCAATTCTCACGTACTTACCAACACCTTTAGGGCCAAAGGGCATAACGTACTATTTACAATAATTCCATATAATGACCAGCATTACATTGATAAACATACGTTTAGTTGAATATATATACTTAAAAATTAATTGAATCGATTTGCATAAAACTAATATAATCAAATAGCTTACCTGTGTCAAAAGATACACAAAACTCTTTGAATGTATCTCGAATTTTGACTCTCAATTCTCTGTCTAACTTGGGACTATCGAATAACGGGTGTAAACTTGGTAAAACACGTTTTTCTAATATATTTCGGAGAGATAAAAATATACCATGTTTTACTTTTTCCTCAATTGGTGGGTAAAAATTTGATATAATCTGCAATTGTAAAAGAATATTATTTTCATATACTACCACTTACAAAATTATTTCATAAAATAACTTACTCTACATAAGAAGTCAAGTAAAGTGGCTGTGACTGCTGGATGTGACCTCATTGAATTGTGCATTACTAATATAGCAGGTTCAATATTCATAATATTATCTTTCTCTGGTTCAAAAAATAACCAATCATAAAAAAGTGCAAGTTTAGCATTACTAGCAGCAACTGGCATAGTACATGTAGTGAAAAGCCACCCGATTACAGCCCATCGTGGTATTATATCAGAACAAAGTAATTCATTTGTTGGATGAATCACTCCAACGATAAATCTTATCAAATCGCACCTCAGAGTTTGTGATTCTGGTGTTGCTAAATATTGTCTCTGAAACCATTCTTGATATCGTTTATGGTTTCCGAATCTTACTTGACTAGTTAAAAATACAAGCTTTCGCTCCATATCAGGAGTTAATCTTGATTGTAAAAATCTTCGAGATGTTCGTGTTTGTAAAAACTGTAAAACACCATTAAAGTTTGGATTCAATGATTTTGGATTAAGAAGTATTTCTTTCCATAAGATCTCGATTTCTGGGATTCTTGCAACATTTTGTAGTAGTCTAATGAAATCTCTGAAACAAAATTTTAATTGAAATACCCAACTTTATATTTATAAATTTATCGTATATTAATAATGATAAACATAGACTTCACACCTTCCAATCACCAAACAATCTGTTATTTTTTCTCGAATCAAACAAACCAAAAATGTAACTTCTTTTTGTCTCAAATTAGACAAATGAGTTGCACTATGATCCTCTATTAAACGAAGATATGTATATACTATAGATGCTATTAAATATGGAAATTTATCCAGCCAAGATCGGTTATCATGAAATATTTCTAATAAATTTTCAACAAGAAAAATATTACGACTAGAAATATCACCACCAGCTGCATGTCTTAATAAACTTAAACATAAATTATCTACATTATTAACATTAGTTTTGATCATCTCTCGTAACAACCACATAAGTTGATTTTTAGCAACATCAGTCAATTTTATGTATTTTTCTAGAACTATTTGATTTAATGAAGCTATAACAACTGCTAATCCATCACGAGTAAGCAATGTCAAATCTCTGTAACTATTAGATGCTGCTTGCGGTTCAGTTAAAATTTCAATTAACAAACCAAGAGAAATTTCTTCATGGGTTTTATCTTTGCAAACAGCATTATTGAGACTATCATGAGCTTCTTTTTCTGATAAATTAGCTGTTATATTTTGCAATACATTATGGCAGTGCTCCAATTTCTGTAAACATATTCAAAATTTTTCAGAGACTAGCTAAACACAAACAACATTTATGTTAGACAAATATAGGATTGTAATATAAACTTATATTCGCAGCAATTCATGAATTCATGTACTGATTAGAATAAAAGAAATGGTTAGTCAAAATACTTACTTCTTCAAAATCATCTTTGTTTTCAACGAATGATGTGAAAAATAGCCTTGTGGAAATATTTTTATTTTGCTCCATTATAACAACTTTTCAAGATGAACTGTGAACAGAGTTACACAAAAATCTTCAATATATTTTATAATTAAATGTTATTCATATTTATATAATCATTCAAAAAACTTTAATATTGGAAAAATAGTCATTTAAAAAAATACAATACATAGTATCCTTATTTCAAACATCTGTGTAGAAAAGCCCAGCTAATAGGTTAGTTCCGGTATGTACTATTTTAAAATTTAATTTTTTTATTTTTATTTATTATTTTAATTTTTTATTTTAATTTGTTATATTTATTATAATTTCAATTTAATTTATCACTTTTTTTATTATAAAAAAGGAGATTGAAATCAGCGATAAGAATCCGATGGGGTAGAGAAAAGGGAACTTTTTTCCAAACGCGACGTTTCTAGATCAGTTTTATAACCATGGCCATCATATGGTATTCCGCTGTTCTGATTCCACTTCCACATAGTATTTATGTTTTGAATTTGTTTTGATACCGATATTATCAATTATAATACAGAGGTTAATTTTCAAGCACGAAAAATATTAAAGTTGAATAAGCAATTGCAATAATTGTTGGCACTGATGAAAATATATCCTTGGAAAATTGGAAGCTTCGTGACTGTGTAGCAAATATCACGCCAATTTAGATATGTTATTTTTAAGGGGGGAGCCTGCTTTAGAGGCGTCAAAAAATCGATTTTTTCGAGAATTTTTTGGGGGAGGAATGAAATATCCGATTGGAATGAAACTTTCAGGGTTTATTAAAACATGTTTCAAGAATCTTCTTAAATTTTTTTATTAAAATACAGATTATATTGTGGCTCGTAGAAGGCTCGGCCGAGGCGCCTTCACTCTGTAGTTGTCGTGCGGCGGGAAAAATGCAGATCGCAATTTTCATCTGAAACAAAAAATCAGATAAAATTTCCATTCTCCAATAGTGTAGTTTCTAGGTAAACCAAGAAAATTCAAAAAAAAGTGAAAATTGAACAATTTATCGCTAAATGAACAAAAAATTTATTTTTTTTGAAAAAAAAATTCACTTTAGATTGTTTAAAAAGTTAGTTAATCTTAACTTTCTTAAGTTTTTTTAGGTTCAACTTGAAGAAAATTCAATTCCAAATAAAACCCACTTTGTCTCGTTTCGATAGGACGTTTAGTTTTTTCCCTATCTTTCCCGCCAATTAGGAAAAATCGTAAAAATTTAAAACCGAGAAATCGCGCGTCAAAGTTTTCGTATATAAAAAAACGTAATTTTATTGAACTTACCACGTAACTATGCTAATCGGCGATTCCTGGTCCATACATTTGTTCTTCAGACTCTTCGTAAAACTGATTTTCGCCGAGATTTTCGAGTATACGCGCTGTTCTGGCCTCTTTGCTCGCGAGTAGATTGCGTCTGTTTTCTCGGGCGATACGCTCCTGGTCGGCTTGCCGAGAGAAATTCATGCATTGCTGTTCAATTTTCAAGTCTAATATCTGCATTGTTTGTAATACTGCACTGTAGCCTTCATTGAACATTCCTCCAGCGATGTAGGTAGCAATCTCGACAATTTTAGTGCCTGAGTGAAGGTGTTTAGGTGTCATGCGCCACACAGTGGAATTGAACGACTCGTTCGCATTTTGTGTGTGTCCACCCAAGCATCTCGTTAGCAGATCGTCGTTAGATAAGTCCTCGTACACAGGACGAATGTGCTTCTCAACCTCTTCGTCGATGACACGTGGCGAATGTTGAAAATCAGCCAGTTTATTTGCTGCCTCGGCTTTGCGCCACTCACACCAACTGTCGGCGCCTTCTAGGCAATGGTCGTGGCGAGGTAATTCATCCGTCGAGCAATAGTGATCGAGTGTCGCCATTATAGCGTTTTTCATGTCTTCCACAGAATTCAAGTTTCTTCGAATGGCCAGACCGTAGTAAATGGTTAATTTTTTTATTAAAGTCTCGGTGAGCCGCTTCTTTCCACCGAGCTTTTCTTGTTTTTTTTTGTTTCGGAGACGAGTACCCATGCGCTTTTGGACATGTCCCACGCACTCGTTTTTTGTCACTGTGAGCTCCGGGCCATATGGATTACTGTTCAGAATGCCAAGAAATGTTTTGGAGTCGCCGTCACCAATGTAATTACTGTACTTTACTCCGAATTTCTCGATGGATCTCAAGAACATTGTCATTATCGAATCAACTTCCATTTTTCCGGACGAGCCGGCGTGATTCGAAGAACAATTTTCCTTATGGTTTTGATACCATTCTTCAAACTCTTCGTCGTCCAATGTATTCTTCTTCAGAGCACAAGTATGACAATATCCACTTTTAACGATGAGATCGATCACTTTGCCACTATAGTACCCGATAAGTGTAGTTACACCGTATAATGAAGTAAAGCCACGTTTTTTCCAAGATCCATCGCCTGAAACTTTCAAATGATCAGCTGGTCTTCTATTTGTAACGTTAAGTTCTTTTTCCTCTGCGACGGCTTTTTTGCAGGCGCTGTCAAACATTTTTTTCGACGCTGAATACAGGTACTGCACGATTTGATCATACGTCGATTTAGCTAAGCCTGGTGATATGTCCATAAGACCACAAAAAATGTTAATGCCTTCTCGTGCGACACCCCAAAGCCTCATGACGAGCACAATTCTTCTATTGATTTCGTAGCCAGTGTTGATCAATGGTCCAGATTGAATTTCTCGTTTACCGCATTTGCACGCTAAAACGATTTTGAATCCGAGACCTCGATGGCCGCTTTCGGCAAAAGTTATTCGCTGCTTACACGAATTGCAAATAACTATTTCGGAAATTGCTAAAAATACAGAGACAAACTCAATTATTCGATAGCAATGTGACGGATGAATTATGACATCGTCCGTAGTTGCTGAAGCCAATTTATTTTCACTACGGCTCGTATTAGCTTCTTCATCGTCAGATGTCGAAACATTTAAGAACTGATTGCCATGGAATTTGCGCTTTCGTGGCTTACCAGTGCGATCAGTTGAATATTTACTACCTTTCGGATAGCTCTTCACGTACCGAAACACAAAACAAAACTAAACTCGAATGCTAATACAGCTTGGCTCAAGCCGACTCTGCCAGCTCATGTATACTGCTTATAATATACACTTTTATCCTTCCATAGCTCCAGCAAGACCTACGAAGGATCTACAGGTTGATTCTGAAACATATGAAGAGTTTGGTACCATTCGATTCGTTTTGAAAAATGGAATAAGATGGCACAGTTAAAATTTTTTGTTGATAATTAGTCAATTAGATAATCGCGATTGAATGTCAGCCAATGAGCGGCTGGCTACGGCCGACGGGCCGCGCGACGGCGAGTCGCGACGGAGAAGGGAGGTCGACTCGCGCATGTTATTCAACAGGTGACAGAGTTGCTCAACTCTTGACCTGTTACTGCTAGCAGCCGTTATGTTGACGTATTTTGATATTATGAATATCAATAATAATATGGATAAAATTATTAAAAAATACGTTGCAATGTAATAATGCATTACATTGTTTTGTATCGTAAAAAAACATGAATTTTATGAAATCAATAAAAACATGTGTACTACATGCGCTTTTACGAAAATATTGCACATTGTGCAATTACTTGCATGTTTAATAAACGCATATTAAACTATACGAATAGTTACAATAGGCATTACTTACATTGTAGCTACATACAATACAATACGTGAAATACATTTTTCAAACAAACAATCAATCAATCAATCAATAAATTGATTAATTAATGGTCTGCATTAGTTGCAATAGGGTAATGGATTGAACGCTATTTATTTAATTATCTCAACTTAAGCATCGAATTTTCGATAGTTCAAGGATTTGAATATTTTGTAATATGCAAACTCTCAAACAGTCAAACATCAATAGTTCCAAACAAATGAATAGTAATGTTTTTTTTTTGCTATTCATTTGTTCATTACTATTGATAGACTTAGTTGCAAAATTTTCTTGACACGGTGTACTCCATCGTTGCAAAATGGCAAGAAGAAATGCTTATTCCAACGAGGAGTACACCGATATGGTGTTGTGCTTGGGCTGGGCTGAGGGTAATGCGAATGCAGCTGCTCGACGGTACGCTGAGCTTTACCCTCCCAGAGCACAACACCCCAATCCTCGGACGATAGAAAATACCGTGAGGAGGTTGAGGGAAACGGGCAGTGTCGTGGTCAGGAATCCTGATGGAGGACGCCAACGCCAACGCGATCGCCTTCATGACCCTATCGTCGCAGCTTTCGCCGCCAATCCGACAGACAGCTTGCGATCTGTTTCGCGGCAAGTCTCGGCGGCGTTAGGTGTGGCGTGTTCGTACAGCACTGTACAACGGGTCATGAAGGATGATGGTCAACATGCGTATCATCTCCGGCGAGTGCAGTCACTAGGTAAGTGCATAATTTGTTATTTATAGCGGTTATGTATTCGCATGTAACGACAGGAGGTCGATCCTGTAGTAACATTGATATGCTGACGGACACAGTATTTATTTTTATGTTTTGATCAATTATATCTCGGTTTGTATTAAAGACAATGGACCGTTTAATCATTTATTAGAACCTGGAGATCCGCAACAGAGATTGAGGTACTGTCATTGGCTTGTGGACGCGGTTGACGAAGATCCTAACATCTTGGATCGCATTTTATGGACGGATGAATCCACTTTCGGGCGAATCGAAATGTTCAACCAACACAATGAACATGTGTGGGCCCACGAGAATCCATTTGCGGTGCGAGAAGGTATATTTTAAGAATAATATTGTATTTGCTTGCACAACAAAATATTTAACAATATTTTTCAACATAATTTAGATCGTTCGCAGCATAGATATGCCGTAAATGTATGGGCTGGTGTGATTCGTGACCGAATTGTGGGTCCATTCCGTCTACCGCGAAACTTCAATGCTGGTGCGTACCTCGATTTTCTGCAACATGATCTGCCAGCTCTTCTAGATGACGTCCTCCCAGATCAAAATAACATCATCCTGATGCACGACGGAGCCCCAGCCTACTTTGCGCAGCCTGTCCGGGACTATCTCGACGAGGTAATTGATTACTGTTTGTTTTTTATTAATTTATAAAAAAAAGTATACTGATTTCTATGTTTTTCCAGTCTTACCCTGAGTGGATAGGCCGTGGTGGTACCGTAGAATGGCCAGCACGTTCCCCAGATCATAATCCATTGGATTATTATGTTTGGGGAACGTGCAAAGAGGCCATCTACTCTAACGGTCCACCTGGCAACGCAGATGGATGCTGGCAGGCTGTTCAAGAGTGGGCAGAAAATGTGGCCCCCGATCAAATATATAGAGCGACGCTCCAAGTTTTACGAAGAGCTCGCCTATGTA